AAGAATAACCTTTGGGAAGTTGGTTTATAAGCATTGACTCAGTATTGGGCTTATAAACTTGGTGTGAGGAAAGCCAAGACCAAGGCCCACACGTGCGCCGTCGTCGGGCTCGAGCCTGATTTTTCTTTTGGGGCAAATTTCTTCTACAAAGTCAAAGACACGTGGCAAACTAAGAGGAATTGTTGGATATGTAGATAGTTGAACGTTGCTTGAGATCATCCCATTCATCTCAATCTCCACTCAATTCATTCATCACTTTTCCACCTCGAATTGGAGGTTGTGTATCATCCCATTCATCTCAATCTCCACTCAATTCATTCACTTTTCCACCTCGAATTGGAGGTTGTGTTAACCTTGGGGAGCATACCGGCAGTGAGGTCGTGCCGATTTTGCTTTCAAGGCAGTGGTTCCGCCCACGGCACAACGTTTTTTACCTCCTGGTTCCTATTTTGTCCTTTATTGTCCAACAACATTGTCATCGGCACCGGTGGGTACTTCTCCTTCCCGATTTGCCTCGCCGCGAGGCTGATTAATGGGGTCAAGCTCGCAATCCAAGATCAGAACTCGGTTCCAGGGTTTGGGAATTGGGTTCTTTCCTATTTTGCGGATGTGGTTTTTGTTATCTTGAACTCCACGATTGAGTGCTTTCCAAGCAAGAAGAAGTGTGTGGTTTGCGGGAATCCGGTGAGATTGGCACTGAGGCAGTACGTATCGAAGGCTGTGGCACGTTTGCATTTCTTTCCAAGATCAGGGAAGGCCGAGGATCTGGAGGCGAAGACTCTACTAGTTCTTGGAGGGTCTTTGGGGGCCAATGCCATAAACATTGCCATGTTGAATCTGTACTATCAGATGCTGTTGGAGAACAAGAACTTGTATATTATATGGCAGACTGGCGTGGAGACATTTGATGAGATGGACAGCCTTGTGAAGAACCATCCCCATCTGCATTTAACGCCGTAATCCTTTACACAGTATTAAATGCCTCTCAACTTGCCTCATGTTCATTATAGTCTTGATATTCAAATCTAGATATCGTCGTGAAATATGTTTATTCCTTAATCGAAGTTTGTGGTGTTAAGAGCTTATAGAATTCATCTTTTATTGAGAAGACAGTAAATAGGCATTGAAAACAGAGTGCTATTGCTATAGTTGAGAGAGCTTCTGAGACCATATTAACTGTCTGTAGATTAGAAACTGAGAAGACATGCACAAAAGAGCAGAGATTGCATTAGTTGCTGCTGGAGAGATCATTTCGATGAGCTTAAGAAAACAAATGGGAACTTCAGAGTCAAGCATCTATATGTATGCTAGAATTAAAGTCTTAGTGTTTGAGATGTGCCAATCTATGCAAAGAGAAAAATTTAGCATGACAGACCAAACAACATGATGGCTTCATGTTCGAATCCTTATACGTCTGTCTCCATGTCTTAATTATAAACATCTTGTGATGTTCTTCATAAAAGTATAGGCATGTAATGTTTCTTACTTGAAATTAAGTGGAGTTATTTTATTGGTGAAGGTTCATGCATTCTCTGCATTTGGCATATGCAGCTGCAGATCTCATAGTATCTAGAGCAGGGGCCATGACTTGCTCTGAGATCCTAGCAACTGGGAAGCCTTCTATTCAGGTACAAATTACAACCCCCCTCCTCCCAAGCATGAAATTGCTTTTCCACACTCAGCATTATGAAGCCTTTTGCATGTAAGCTTCTGAGTTTTCTTCATTCTCTGAGAGAAGCCTTGTATTTTGACTCTTTACTTTAGATACCGTCACCATATGAAGATGAAGGACATCAGTTCAGAAATGCTTCAACAATGGCTGACATGGCTGGTTCAAGGGTAATAGATGAAGATGAGCTAGATTCAACTACTCTTGCAATTGCAATCCAAGAGATATTAGGTATGTTGAGCATGCTCTTTTAATGAAATCATTTCTTGTTAAAGAGAAAAAAGCATGCTTCAATTTCCTTGTGATCATGTTGAGATCTTTACCCTGAAACAGTTGAAACCTGCTTCCCTAGAAATCTAAAAAGGTTGCGCAAAATCTAGTAATCGTTAGTATAACCTGTTAAGGTCTCTAGAAATGAAGAAAGACGCTTTATAAGATGAACGTCAGATTTTTCAGTAAATTATTCTTGATACCATCATTTTTCGAGTTAAGATTAATACTACCGATTTTGAGCGTGTTAAATGGTTTATTGACATTTGTCTAAAAGAGTTGGATGAATTATTCAAACGAGAGTATCTTGTGACATGATGAAAACTCTATGCACCAACCAATATAATATATGATTCTTCTGTTCTTTTGCCTCATTTCATTAACTTTTTGATGATCTCTTCATCTTCGCTTTGTTCGAAGAAGCCGAGATTGAGTCTCGTAAACTGTCAAAACTGAGATCTACTTCAGATCTTCTCATAGTATGGGTATTTTGGACAGGTGATGAGAGTAAAATGGCAGATATGTCTGAGAGAGCACTGAGAGTATCAAAACCAAATGCCTCTGCTGAAATTGTTCAACACATTGGAAACTTGATAAACTTGTCAACTAGGAAGGGAAAGCAGCAATGATATCATAACAGTGGATGAGATAATTTTATGATCCACATTCCACACCACACACTGGTTGGTTTGAAGGTCAGATTGCTTTCTTCATCACACAGAAGTCATTCATATCTTTTACACTCCCAACTTATCATGCGATGTGATCGTTCAGCTATAATGATGTATCAAAAAGCCTTGTTCGATAAGTATTTTGTCTGAACTTTGAAGGTTAAATTACGTTTGTCTAATAGGTTCCTAAGTCTTTAATAAGACGATGCCTTATATATTTGCTATTATTAAAATTAATTAATCTATTAGATATAAATTTTAATTTTTGTGTCTAATAGAACTCTAAATTTTTAATTGTGTGTCTAATGCGTTTATGAATTTTTAAAAATGTTGATTAAGTCAATAATCTATTACGTACAAATTTAAAAGTCAACAAAGTTAAATATTCAATTAGATACAAATTTAAAAGTTTTGAAATTTATTAGATCGTAATTTAATTTGTATTAATTTTCAACTTCTTAAAAAAAGAAAAGAAAGAATGAAGTTGTATACTTTCTTTCCTTTGTTTTGTTTCTCTGGGTTGTCCACTTTTGTTCCACCAGCCAACTTTTGTTTTAATCTTAACTTAAAAAAAGAAAAAAAGAAGAACCATAAATCATTTTCATATTATTCTAACTACTTGCTTCAAAGTTATTACTCAACTGTAACAAAAATAGCAATTTCATTATCAGAAATAGGAAATTAAATTTTTAAGTTTTCTTTTCTGTTTTTTGAAATTTATCCATGATTTTGAGATTGTTTTTTAATAAAATAAGAAACGACATAATAAAACGTTTCTAAATGAACTGGTCGCCCGAGAAAATAGAAATAACGGACATGGCTCTTGATTGCGTAAGTCACATGAGAGATCCAAATTTAGAAGCTTGGAATTAAAAAATTGATAAATAATATCTCCATTAACAAAACCCTTTTGTCGCTTCCTTGAATTATGAGTAAAGGATTATTTTAATGGATAATGTTAATTGGAAAATGGATATGGTCCGCACAAGTCAGCGACTGAAATGGGGTCCACTTTGGCGAGTTAAAGGTCAAAACTTGGTCAACAGTACTCACCCACCCCTCGCCGCGAATTTATGGCCTATTCCCAATGCGTGACGCAACCTCCGCCTTCACCAAGTTTTGTTTCTTTCCTCTGATTCTTCTTTTTTCCTTAAAATCTTGTACGAATCCTGGTTTCCCACATTATAATCGAGCCTACTTTTCAGTTTTCTTTCCTACCAATTACCCACAAGCAATAACCTCTCCACGCTATATAACTTCAACCCAAGATCTTCTTCCAACCCAGAGATTATGGCCACTCTTCCATTGTCTCGCTCGGATCTCTGTTCGATCAGCCGGAGCGACGGCCTCTGCTGTTACCTGAACCCAGTCCGGCAACGACGGAAACCAGATGGCTGTTGGGTCTTACGCCGACGAAATGTGATCGCGGTCAGGGCGTTTGACGGTGGGGCATTCGGTTTGTACGGCAACAAGGAGAAGAGTTCAATCTGTACTGCCGACGAGCTTCATTACGTCTCTGTTCCCAACTCCGATTGGAGGCTCGCTCTGTGGCGTTACCCCCCTTCTCCTCGGGTTCGTTCTCCTTCTGTTTTTCTTGTATAACTTGCAAGTTGTGAGTTCAAGATTCAAGTGCATTAATGGAATAGAACATGGGTTTCGAATTTAGATTCATGGGTCTGGAGATTTTTGTGGATGATGTGTGTAATAGAGTTTTCTTTTTTGCAAACAGGCGCCGTCAAGGAATCATCCGCTTTTGCTGTTATCAGGGGTTGGGAGCAATGCTCTTGGCTATGACCTTTCTCCAGGGGTGAGTCATGAGATACAGTTACATACATTTTCTTCTTTCTTTTCCCGTTTCTTGTCTTCGTATCTTTGTTTTGTTCTTTTAATCTTTTCATTTTGTGCTAGCCATGCCATGAGATGGCCATTGAAATCGAAACCACCATAGCTATTGCCTGGTAAATTTGAATGGTAACAAATGCTCAAAACTTGAGAGTTGAGAAGAGGAACCCAAACTTTTCAGATTACTAGGAGCATGAAAAGACTCACAAGGATGAACCAGAACATGGAAACTTATCAAGGACATCAGAAAGTAGAAGTTAGAGACCTACTCGAAAAAACAGAATAGAAATAGGAGTCTAACAATGCATACAAATGCCATACAAAGCTTCCAATATTCCTCCGCAGCTAAGCCATCTATTTTCTTTGTGGTTTGGTTCTGGGTCTGGGACTCTGGGCTAGTTTTAGAATTACAATTACCATTACGCAATTTTCTGTAAAATAGGTTAGAGGTTCGCCCTCTTATGCTTTCTCTGTCAATTTTGTGGACTTCAATCTGATCATCCTGGATCTCGATTCTCACATCTATTTACAATGTAATATTTTCAGTCCTCATTTGCTCGCTACATGTCCAACCAAGGATATGATACTTGGATTCTTGAAGTTCGAGGATCTGGCCTTAGTACTGACAGAGTAGAAATGAAGGAAAATGAGCAGATACGCTCTGGAACTCTGGAGAAACGTCCATCAGCCGAGACTGGCAAATATGTTAGTTCTGTGGGTTCCAGCATTTCTTCAAAAGATGGTCTGTTGAGAACTTTACTTTTCATTAATCTGATAACATTTTATGACCAAATATATAACTGCAGGTATTGAGGGACTTAAGCTTCTTTTTTAAAAAAAAAAATTGATACAGGAGAGACTTCTACAATTGCTACTCAACTTAGGCAATGGAATCAAAATCTTATGGATATAATCGAAGGAGCTCAACAACTGGGTCCATTGCGGCCTTTTAACTTACAAGGTGTTACCTCTGCATTAGAAGGCTTCCAGGAACAACTTGATATGTATGAGAAATATGATTGGGACTTCGACCACTACTTGGAAGAAGATTTGCCCGCTGCGGTGAGGTGCATTTTCTTTTTCATGGATCATTGAAGATGATACTTCTTTAAAACATTCAATAAAATGAAAATTTCCAACGATGAACCTCTATGCATGTGCTTTTACATGTTAGATGGAGTACATAAGGAACCAATCTAAACCCAACGATGGCAAGTTACTAGCAATTGGCCACTCGATGGGGGGTATCTTGCTATATGCAAAGATCTCACGATGTAGTGAGTTGACATGCGTCCCTTTTCCCTTTCATTTAATTCTTAATGTTCTGACATTTTGATAATCTTGAGACTATTCTGGACCTTTGGTTACGGTTATTTTGTGTCAGGCTTTAACAAAGTTGACCCGCAGTTGGCATCAGTTGTGACTTTGGGTTCATCACTTGACTTCAGACCTTCAAATTCATCACTCAGATTGCTATTACCTTTGGCAAGTGATTGTATGAGCTATTTTTAGATAATTTCTTTCTCACAAATACATGAATGAGAAACTAAGGTTGTATCCAACTTTAATGTACAGAGAGATCCTCTACAAGCTTTTAATGTTCCTGCGTTTCCCATTGGGCCATTGCTTGGTATTGCTCATCCCCTCGCATCGCGTCCTCCTTATATCTTGTCCTGGTTAAAGGGTCAAATTTCTGCAGGAGACATGCTACATCCTACCTTGCTTGAGAAGCTTGTTCTTGATGGCTATGGTTAAATACTTTTCCTTTTGTTTGTCAATGAAAAATAACTGGATTACTTCAGAAACTTACAAATGACGGTTTCGTTTCAGCATTGCTATTGAACTCTACACCCCTTATTGATACAATTGATAATCTGTTTTCCAGAATCTGTGCCTTCAAAGGTTCTCGTGCAGCTATCAACTGTTTTTGAAGAAGGGGGCTTGCGCGACAGGAACGGGATGTTCCAGTACAAGGACCATCTATGCCAAAGCAACATTCCAATCCTTGCACTTGCTGGAGACCAAGACATCATTTGTCCACCTGAAGCTGTTTATGGTAGGATTTCTCCAATATACTTCTTGGGTGTGCCATGCCTTCATCTCTGCTTTTATTAATCACCCTCACTGACTCTTTATATCCTCTCTGCCGCTCAAATCAGAAACTGTGAAGCAAATTCCCTGGCGGTATGTTTCCTACAAAGTTCTTGGGAAGCCTGGTGGTCCTCACTATGCTCACTATGATATCGTGGGAAGTCGTTTGGTACGGTTTCTCCTTGCAGCAAGTTTTTAAGAAACTACGATTTACAAACCTCTCTGATTCATTTGTATTCTATGTTATGCAATGCAGGCATCAAGCGAAGTATATCCATTGATAACCAATTTTCTCAACCGTCATGACTAGGGTAGATTTCACCATACCATCCAACTCTAGATATATACATTTCATCAGTCAAAAGAACAGTTGTATATCTTCCTTATTGATAGAATATCCACGAAGATCTATTTCCTAAGATCTGCTGTATACAAAATTGTAAAGCAAACACACAATCCTGTGGAGGGTATATTACTGGCTTCGAAAATTGTGGGCTGTGTAATTTTCCTCAGATAATAATAGAAATTGTCCAAGCAATAATGTTTTTATCAACTTTTCAAAATATTGCTTCAGTAAAACTGAAGTCTTATATTTCTCCATTTGTTTAATTCGTAAATACAACTTGATTCAATAAAAGGCAGGGAGGTCAGCTAAAAGACCCAAGAGATTCGATTTCAAGCCATAGGAACGATGTAATCGTAAAATGATTTTGCAAATCAGCATAAGATTTCGACTATTGACTCAATCACAAAAGGCAGAGCCACACCATAATGTAAACAGATTACATCAATTTACATCTTGAAAAGCTTGGTAAGAACCTGGTTTTTTTAGTTTTGCCCGACAAAATCTCGTCGGAAGAACATAAGAAAGGCATCGAACCTTGAGGTCTTAAAGCTATGCAATCAAGTCAACCCAAAAGCACCATTACTTAAAATCTCTGCAGAACTGAGGAATAAGAAAATGGCGCCCCATCATATCTCTGATAAGTAGAAAGGGAAGCTTCACACAAATGAATGAATGCTTTGCTCATGTAAAAAGGCAATGAAATCTATACACCACATAGGGGAGAAAACAAGCAGGCAGAGTCGAAGAGGTGCTAGACGTGGTGGGGCAAACCGTTCAGCCTCGGCCCACCACTGCTGTCTTACAGACCGGGCACATATTCTTCTGTGCAAGCCACTGTTTTATACAGTGTATGTGATAGCTGTGCCCACATTCCAGCTTACCCATTTCATCGTCTACTTCATAGTCCTCCTGCTTGTACAAAATGATTTTAGGTGTCAAGAATGAGGTCGGAAAGAACAATTACATATATGAGTTCTAATCAAAACCACTAAGCTGGACTCGAGTAACTACAACTTTACCTGGCAGATACTGCACTTCCGATCTACTTGAGATAATAAATGGGATGCTAGCTCATTTACGATAAAAGGCTTCATCTTCCTAATACATTTGCCGATCTCGTCTTCTTTCAGCCCGGTACTCACATGACCAATCCTCTCACCGAGTTCAAGCAGCTCCTGTTTCCATCTCGAGATAACAAAGATGGGTTAACATCAGATTGTTGCAGGAAAGAAGAGGTAGAAGGAATTGGTGAAAGTTATGAACCTCATATGACATGTTATCAACATCGAGCCGCAATTCCCTAAATTGATCGTGAGTATCAAACCTTCCACCCATCAGCAAACTGCTCTGGAACATCATAATCTGCTATAAATAATATATCAAGTGAGCATACCCGTATTATATGATCATTATGAAACAAGGGAGGGAGGGAGTGACAATACAGAAACATGATAAAATTTACACTATATGATTCAAAATATGGTGTATATTGCAACATTAATCTATGCTTTCTTCCATGATTCCTATCATTAACTATAAACTTGCTGTTGGAATCAATGGATGAGATCAAAGACATTCCAAATAGGAAACGTAATCTAGCAAAACAGATTAGCTTGTAAGCAAGTTCAAATTGTTTCTTTGAGCCGATGCCATCTGCCAAACCATCTCATAAAAGCAGAATATCTAATTTTTCAAATATCGGAACCTTACCAAGACATCCAAATGTGATCTGCCAAACCATTTCAAGCAAATAAAGAACAGAAAAATAAAACACTGAAGCTTATATAGTTATATTTATGGCATTGGGTACAAATATGAATGATGGCTCACCTCAGCCAGCCCGTCCGGGGATGGATGCCGAACATGGCGATAATACCGACTCCGAGACACTTCCAATGACCGTGCTGTTGGAAGATCAGAATCAGAATCCAAAAACAAGAGGGTCTCGGGGTTCACTGTTCGCCTTCCTAAGCAAGAACGCTGGCGATGGTAGAAGCAGAGGAAGTTAAAACTATAACACATTAAACAAGAACAAGAGTTTCTCATTTTTATAGCCCCAAAGGAGGACTTCATTCGCAGGACCTTCAAATTTAATACATACCCATTTGCATTAAATATTCAAATTTACAAAGAAGAATGAAAAGGGAGCAAGTTCCAAGAATGGAAGTTGAACAGGTTCAAACTGATTTAGAACCATATTGCAGGCAAGAAAACAAACCAAGCCGAGGAAGTTCAGTAAGAGCCCATATCTGAAGAACTAGTAATAAGATGACTAAAGCAGAACAAAATAAACATCTCAAGTTTCTTTACCAACGAATGCTTAACCCACAACCATAGAAGAGAGATGTTCAAGAATGTTAAGAAGAAATAGAAAAGCGAGTTACCTCCCTCTGGCTCATCTTCTCCACATCAATTTTTCCCCTCCCAGAAGCATGCCTTCTCGCGACAACGCAATCCACAGAAGCAGCAGCATCAGGAGAGAATCCAATTCCAGGGCCGCACCAAACATCTTGAGCGTCTAAACAGCTAGCAGAATTGAAATTCGAATTTGGGTGAAAATAAGTTCCATCACCAATTCCTTGCTGGGTTTTGTTCTTGGAGCTCTTCTGCTTTTTTTTCCTCGTCTTCTTCTTCTGCCAATCCGCGGAAGTTCGAATTACAGCCGGGACCGATACCTGCTGAGAAGCGGAGGCAGTGCATCCGAGTCCCCTGAAAGTTGCAGAAGAGAAGTTGCTCTTCTTCCTATTCGTGACACTTGAAGAGGGTAAAGATTCAGTGGCGCCGCTATTGGAAAAGGTCGAGAGAAGGAGAGAGGAAATGGTGGATTTGCAGCGAGTGGATTGAATTATCGAAGGGATTGATGGATTTGGATCTGATTCTGAAATGGGTTGGCTCAAATGGCCTCTGGGTCTTCTCAATTTGATGTGTTCACCCACTGTAGTAGTCTGTGTAACAACAGGCATGACTCTTAAACAAGAATTAGAATGTAACAAAGAGAAGACGAGGTGGAAAAGGGAAGTTAAGAGAAGAAATGGAAATGAATGAAAGAACAAATACAACTGCAATTTAAGCCGTTTGCAAGAGAAAGGGGAAATGGATTATGGAATGAAGTGGGACTGAATTTGAGTTGAAAGAGAGAAAAGCATAAAACTTTAATAAACTTTAATTTAATCAAAGCTTTTTGTTCCCTTCCCAGATTTGAATGCAGAGGTATGAAGAAGGGGAAAGAAAAAAAGAGTGATTATGAAGCGAATTTCACTCTCTCATTTCTTTTCCTTTTTTTTTTCTCCTCCTTTCCTGTGCTGTTTGTTAGGTGGGCTGTGTTTGTCTTCTTGTTGGAGTTTGTGGGTATGTGCCATCATAGAGAGCAGAGTCTCACAGACTCAGGAATCTGTGAACAACCTTTTTTGCCCTTTTTTTTCTTTTTTTTTTTTTTCTTTTTTGGTTCTCTCCTTTTTTGCATTCTAAGCCAGATTGATGCTTACTTATCAAATAAATAAAAGTGAATTTGAATCTCATACTGTTGTTCTTCAGGGAGAGAGGGGAGGGTATAATGGTCAGAAAACAAATTGGTAGGCTCTGCAAAAAGTCAGATCTATGGGTCACCATGGATTGCAGCTGGAATGGAAGTGTCCCACACCAGAAAATACTGAGTCAAAATTTGTAGGGATTCTAAATGCTGTTGATTCTCTCTGGGAATGGACGGTTGTGATGTCTTCTTCTTCTTCTTCTTCTTCTTCCTCCTTAATTTTCTTTACAAAATCAAGAAATTATGTTCATGTGGGGATAATTTTGAGGATTTATTCATGGGTATTTACCGATTTAAAATAAGGATGAAACAGAATGATGTTGTATAAATTAATGAAAGTGGTTGAGTTTTTTTTTTTTTTTTAAAAAAATGGGTTTGATTTTCAACACATGGTTTTGTCACATATTAAAAAAAAAAAGGATTGAGCAAAATTTAGCAAAAAGAGCTGAAATCATGTGAAGATTGTCTTGTTTTGACTCAGAAGTGTCTTTATATGTAAAGAACCAAACAATGCTACATGCTTGAATCATTGTGTTGTTCTTACACTAAAATAATAACAAATGTGCTTTTCCAATTATTTGTTTTTTCAAAGGCATAAATATGAGTTTTATTTTTAATTTTGGACAAAGAAAAAAAACGTGTATATATCAATAAATACTCAGAGTTATTCCATTTCCATCTTAGAAGAGGCCATCGACATTAATGAATTGAAGTATATAGCCTTATAAAGTAAAGAGATGAATTTGATGAGAATGTAAAAGTATGTGGATATAATTTTCCTCCCTCTTGTAAAATGGTGATATAATTATTATTGATTTGAAAAGTATATATTATAATGACAGTCCATAATTAAGAAAAAAGATCTCATTTGAAACCTAATTAAGTACCCATAATCATTCCTTAAAGAAGAAAAAAAAAACGCGATAATCATGCCTTTGAAAATCCAAATCATTCCCAGTTGAGTTTCCTTAGTAATTGTAATTACAAGGTGCCAATATGACCTTAACTCAGCGATAATTGACACATGTATTTGATCAAGAGATTACGAGTTTGAATACACTATCTCATTTGTCGAAGTACGGATACTCTGTCGATGTATCTCATGATTCACGATAATCGACGAGGTTTTGGGATATGGAACAACTAGGTTGAAGAATTGTCCCTCGAATCCCTTATAAACAGCGAAACTCACTTCTCATTTAGGTATTTAAGAATTGGTACGTAAGAATTAGACGTCACTCAACGCCTACCTATAAATATATTATTACTTTTGTGGATATTAACTTTTTATTTTTATTTCTGTGCATTCTATCAAGAAGTTTGAACGAAATTTTTTATTTGTGGCTAATTTTGAATACTTTTTTTTTATTGGGTTTGATAAGCTACTAATAATTTTGAGTATTTTATTAGATAAATTGGCGTGGTTGATTAGTTGTTGATAAATAATATTATAATTAATTTTGTAGAGGACTAACTTTGTTATTTATTTAAGATTAAAATTGAATTTAACAATCCATAAGTAAATAATAGAGTAAGTTGATGGTTAAGTATAAAAACAAACTAAAATGGCTACCCATCCTTTAGATGGTAGAATTGTTCCAATTAAAATATAATTAATATAATTTGCTAAATAAATATAGATGGATAAGACACATATCCACTATAGAAAGTCAAAAATTCGAATTTCTATATTTATTTGCAGTCGAACTCAAATAAAAAACATAAACACAGTTTAACGATTAAAACATCTGTTCAGTGATTTACATCAGTAGTCTATCCGGATGCAGTAACTTTCTTTTTTATCTTTTTATTTTTTTTATATGGTTTGATTCGAGTTTTGACGTTAGAAAGGGGGGATGGAGAGAAGAATGAAAATGACAAGTGACAATTTTATACATAGAAATCTGTGTCATTAGAACCAAAAAAGAAAGGGAAGCTGATTGGCACTTTTTCCAGCAGGAAAAGGCTGATTTAGTCATCTTTTTGACTTCTCCTCTTTTATTTATTTATTATTTTTTACTCTCTTTCTTTTCCCTTCCTTCAATGTGCGTTTAGTTTCTATAAACACTTTTTTCTCTTCATTGTAAAATGTGAAAGATCTTGGTTTAATGTATGATTTGGAATATCTTAATAATTTTAAAATAAATCCTATAAAATAATTTGAGGTAAATTAAAAAAAAAAACTTAAATAGTAAAGTCTCTCCTTACAAAATTATCAAAGGTTTTTACTTAAAAAATCTGATATATGGTATACTTTAAAATACGCTAAATGATGCACTATAGAATGTACTAAGAGATGCATTAAAAAATATACTAAAAATGTGTTAAATTCACGTATATATGTTTGCAGAACTATTTTAGGATGACATATAGTGCAAATAGGGCAGAAATAAAGCGGTTATAAGTGGGAATAGTTCCACCAATGTGTCACCATATAGCTCGACATGAGCTCGGTTATAAGTCGGCCATCACTTTAGGTTGCCCATAGGTCAGTCTTAGCTATTTTAGCCTTGCACATAGCCATGACATTGCACGGCCGCGGTCTTTGTGCACCTATAGTGCGGCCCTTGCTCGGCCAAGCACATTCATTCACCATATGTTTACACTACCACATCTCCTATAAATAGAAATGACTTATAACATTCCAAGATATGTTATTCTCTTTCATCCACTCTTTACCTCTTTTATAAGCTTATATATTGACTAAGTATCGAAGTATGGTAGATCGGCATCATGTTGGAATCCACCCACCTTCTCTTTTTGTAGGTCATTTTGGCCTCAACTTCCAAAAGTTAAAGATATCGTGAAGACTATCAACTCTCTCAATCTTCCAAAAAACAAGATCTTATCCTTTCTCTGTTCACAACCTATCGGGTCTCGACTTCTCCTAGCTAGACCCAACATCTCCTTGATCACTCGGTGGTCGATCCATTTCACCGACTCTTGGTCCGACTAGCTTCCCAAAAATTGCTTCAACAAAAATTGAATGATAAAATGATAATTTGTTGCATGGAGATGATGTGTGTATAGTGCATGTAACTATATAAGTTAAGATTAGTAAAGTATATATAGATTCTACAACTGTAAATGTAATAAGATATGTTAACTTTTTAAATTTACTTTATAAACTTTCAAAATGGTAAAAATGTTATTATCCATTTGTAACAAGTGACATGCTGTCTTTTGGTTCCTTTCTTAAAAGTATTTTCATTTTCTTTCACCCAATGGATGATTATACCTTCCTTTTTTCTTTTTTTTCGTCAAACTTTTGACATGGTTAATATATTCATGGAAGTGAAATAAAGGGCGAAAACAAGTGACACAAAAATAAAAATCAAGTGGAAAGTGAAAAATGGCTCCATTATATGCCATTTTTTTGTTGATAATATAAATCAATTAAATAATTATATAATTTTTTTCTTAATATTTTATTATACAAAATTAAGGACTAAAACTAAATATTTGAAAATAGAAAGAGTAAGGCATAATATTAAAAAATTTAAGAAATAAGTAAAATAAGAAAATAAGAAAGAAAAAAAAAGAAGCAAGAGAGTTCTTATCTCATGATTTTATGCCCCGTTCCAATGCTTCATTGAAGCTTATTTAACACCACCGTGACTATTTGTTTTGACATCATGATCATCGTACCATCGTGTCAATAGTAAGAGGAAAATTCAAATAGAGCACCATTAGGTATATGTAAAAAAAAAGTCAAACTTTAATATGGTCCATAGATTAAGTACCCACTTTCGACTAGAAGTTTCTTAATCTCCATTTCACGTGTTGCATTAAAAAAAAATGTAAAAGGAAAAAAAAACATTTTCACATGAGATTAATTATAACCATTTTATGCGTTAATGTTATATTCATGGAATAAAGTGGCATTTAATGTTATTGCAGGCATAGAAAAATATCTTATTTTATGCGTTAATTTTTTTTCTTATAAAAAATTTAATGGTGGAAATGTTAATTATAGGTTGCATTCCACCTCAAAATTGAAACCTAAAATATAATTTTACCAAAAGCAGTGTTTCAAAATAAGAACAAGAATATAAATAGGTTAACCATTGCAAAATAAAAAAATATACAAATAGGTTTGCATTGGGAAACTAAAAGCCTTCACAAATACCAAAATGAAAAGTAAAAAAAAAAAGAAAAAGCAAATTATACCGACCCCGAAAATTGGAGACACAATGAATTGTTTTATAGACTCGATGCCATTGTTTCTTCCTTATTCTTTTGTTCTTGTCGTAATGCACATCACGGAATTATCCTTTTATTTAATGTTCTCTCTTATACTTAACACACTTTTCTTATTATTAATTAATTAACTGGTTAATTATATCAAGGTGGTTATTTTTGGCCTTTGAAGATGTTATTATAAAATTATGTTATATAATTGGAGATGAGAATATTATATCGGGATGTACGAGAACTTTTGATAAAAAATATTTGTGAACTTCAATGCAATTAAAAATTATTATTTTTCTCTTTTTAAACACATTATAGCTTCCCTTGATAGCTGTTAGATATAAATTTTGAATTTTACAAAAATTTTCGAACATGCTATATACTCTTAAATATTTAAATTCAAATATTATTTGCTAAAAAATTAACAATACATATGGGAGTATTTTAAATTAGTATTAGGACCATGTTTAACATGCATATCTTGATTAATCAAAATATTAGATAGATTTCTGATCATTAAGACCATGCATTTACATAAAATAACAAATTTATCAACTAAAAGTTGAATTTAAACCAGAAAAGTTTAAATTTTAAAATAATTATATAACTATTGAGGATTTTATTATTCTACGTTTTTATCTTAAAAAAAAAATTACTTTTTCCTTTTGTCTTTGAAAAATAAAACTATAATTGGATTTATTGTAATGGTAAAAATTGAAAAGAACACGTCCTTAATCAGAAGTTCGCGTTTTAGAAAATATTAAACAAAATGAAGAAAATTACAAAATTAGTTATTGAGGAGCACTTAGTGGGCCACAGAAGGCCGGCCCAATTTCATTCTAATGGGCCTCAGCCCACATAGACAGCAGCTAACTTGACTGGACGATCACTCTCCTTCGTCTTTGTATATTGCCTTTCCGGGCATAAATCTCGAGAAAATGGGGCTAAACCCTAGAACTCTTAAGGAACGCCATGAATCGAGCTCTATGGAGAGCTGTCTTCAATGTCTATGCTCGGAGCGTTTCCATCTCTCCTCCCCTTCAAACCCCGTGCTCCGGTCACTTTCCGGCTCGATTTGCCGTTTTGGCTTCCCTCCAACCGCGATGTTACTCATCCAAGAATGACAAGTACAATGGATTGAACTCAACCACGAATCAGAACGATCATTCTGTCGTCGACGATGATGTCAGTACCGAAGGTAAACAAATATGAAAGTTGTTTGTCAATTTTGTTTGTTTTGTTTAGCAATTCTGAGAAGAAGAAAATTTTCAAAATCTTAAGTGGAATTTTGGGATTTATTTTTATTTATTTGTTTATTTTTATTATTTACGGATAATCGAGATTGTTGATGGTAATATTTTGTATGAGTTTCTACTCCAACGTTTGGTTATGAATATGATTTTTTATAACTTTTGCCTAAACTTGCAAAGAAATTTTGGGTGCTGAGTTCTACTCTTGTATTTCAAATCACGAGTCATTTAAAGTCTTATATTCATGTTGGAGATAATTGGGAAGTTCAAGTCGAAAGATTTTTTGCACTTTTCGTTTTCATTTCGTGAAATGATGGTTTTTATCTACTTGACATGATAATTGCCAATCTTAAGATTCGTGTACAGTTTTTGTCATTTTGTTAAAATATGGAGTTAATGAGTTGGTATTAGTTTAGCATAATATTTGACTTGAAGTTGAAGATTTTGAGTAATCTCTGGCTTATGTCCGGTGTAATTTAAACGATTCAATTCAGTGACATTAGCAGCTTAACATTAGATACGTTTGGAACTGTTGTTAAAGAAATGCTTTTATCAAAATTCTTTTATGATAAGGACTTTAACATAAAGTGTAATAAAAAATCATTCTGTTTGTTGGTTCTAATATATTAAAAGTGCTTTTAAGCGAAGTAAAGATCTTTTTTGAATTGAGCATTATTTTAGGGAATCATGTGAAAATAATAAAAATTGCAAGAGTATGTTTAGATAGAAATTAGTGAGAGAGAAGAAGTATGTAGGTAAAGAGGAATTGTAGCGAATGCCAAACACAAACAATTTAGGTTGAAAATGTTAACCTATAAATAGCACAATTGGTTAAAGCATAGATTCAGATTTGAATCTTCACTCTCACGTATTGTTGAACACAAACAAAAAACACTTTTGTACATGCCTAAAGATGTTTCAAATCTGTTCACTGCCATGAAGCTAGTTGTTAATTCAGATTAATTTTCATTAAAAGGAAAAAAATCAACAGACATTGTCATCTTATTCACCAGTGGTTCTGAGTTTCTAGTTTCGTAGCCCATGTGTGATTTAGGAGTTAATACTGCAAGTTTCTGTGATTGCAGAGCTGAAGAGGAAGATAGATAAATTTTACGAGGGTGATGTCGAGTCATTACCATCGATATTTGAAGCAATTTTGAAGAGGAAGCTGTCAGGAAAACACGAAGGTGCTGATGATGAGCTTATGAAAGAAATTCGGCAGCGAATGCCTGGACAAATGGAAGATTTTAAAGATGATGAATGTGCATCTGATTTAAACGGGTTTGAGGAAACTGATGAAGAAATAGATGATTTCAGTCATGCCAGAGATTCGAGTGATTCTGAGGAAGAAGATAGAGATTAGAGAAGTATAAGTTATGTTGATAACTTGAGTTCTATATCCATGTTCGGTCAATATTTGATTTGACATTCTTAGGGAAAAACTTTCAAAATTTTTAATCTCTTAGTCTTAGGGTTCTAGTTAATTTAATTTGATTCAGGCGAACGTATCAGGGTATCAGGTGATATGTTAGGTCTATGCGAACTTAGATCCAAACAAGTGGAAATAGATTAATGGAAAATTGTACAGAAAGATGCACTACATATTTTTTAAATGCCAATATTTGCATCGATAACAGTTATTTATTGAATTAAAGCTGAGTGAAAGCCTATGAATTTCCATCCATTCAAAACCTAAAAGCAACATGTGAAGGTTATTTAATTACATATTTACTGGACAAAAAATTTCAAGGTAGAAGAATGTAATGCTTAATTATTTTTATTACACTAAAAATTTAAGGATTTATGGTGTCCTTACCATTATGAAATTTCTGTATCGATGGAGGTCTAAATATTTTTTAAGATTTAATATATTTCGACTTTTGAAAAATGTATTTTAAAAAGCTTCGCAATTTGGCCTCCCAGCATTTGTTTTGCGCCCACCGGCGTTCCCAGTTGCCACTGGAAGATCCGCAGTACATAAAAAGAAGACCGCAAGTTTTTTGGGGGAAAGGAAACGAATAAAGAACATAAAGAATCTACACAGTCGCAGCGCTGCTACTCGACGGTGTTGCCAATTCAAACATTTCTGCTCAAACCTTTGACAAGGAATCTGACTTAATTACGCAGAAGACTTCTGTTCAAGCTCAGCAAAATGGAGAGGAAAATCTCGTCGTCGGCGCCGGTGTCCGCAACTTGGGGGAGACCGACGGCGGCCCAATACTCCATTCCGGCGTCTGGGGCGCCTGCGAGAAACCCCAACTTCAAGTGCTGCGATGGGGCGCCTGAGGGGCTTTGCAGCGCATGCGTGTGCTGCGTCTGCTGCCCACTGGCTCTGGTGTGGGGATGCCTCAGGCTGCCATGGAGGGCCGCGAAGCAAGCCAAGAAATGGGTCGGCGGCGGATCTGAAGAGAAGCCGTTGGCGTATTCTTCCTTTTCTGACATTGATTCCAGCGGTGAAGTTTAGTTTCCAATCATTTGCAAAAGAAAAAGAAGTTTAGTTTCGAATTAGGGGTAGATTGTTGTATGATCTGGGGCTTCTTTATTTTTTGTGTCGTGTTGATTAATTCTGAAACGTTGTACATGATACCCAGAAATTGAACGATCTTGGATTTTGTTCTCTTGATTGATTGTTAATGGATCTTGTGAATCTCTGTTCTGTATCATAATTTCGATTCAGCAGATAAGACTGGTAGGTAGTTGAGAAAATAGAAAACAAAATCGGTTTGTCAAGAATGGGATTCGAACCCATGCCCTTTCGGACCAGTACCTGAAACTGGCGCCTTAGACCAACTCGGCCATCTTGACATTTGATGTTCCATACAAACAAATCTTATTAATTCTATTTTTTATTTTCCACAGTGAAGCTCCGAATTAGGGTAGATTATTAGATGACCCGCAAGACTCAGAAACAGAAACTACTGGGCTTTCGGATTTCAAAGAATGTTGTATAATTTTTTTTTTTAATCTAAAAGGAATCATTTTATCATTTCTTCTTCTTCTTCTGGTTGTTTTATTTAATTCTGAATGCGTATATTATAAAATAAAATTCAGACAATAATTTAGGATTTCATTCAATTGATTGTTAATGGATCTGAGTTCATAATTTTAATTTAGAAGCATTTTCAGGCTAGCACAATTGAAATTAAACCAAACAAAAAATAAGGAAAAGAAAAGTTTTATCCCAAAGAAATGTCAAGAATGGGATTCGAACCCATGCCCTTTCGGACCAGTACTTGAAACTGGCGCCTTAGACCAACTCGGCCATCTTGACTCATTTGTTGGTTAAACTAAATTAACAATAATATTAGTTATGTGTTAGTTGATCATTTTATCAGTAATTAATTAGTAAACCACTTGTTGACTTCAAATGAATTTTATAAATAAACTACGCTAAACATTCCTCCACTCTCTAATACATTGTTTATGAGAATGATTCTCTTTAACAAATGGCACACGCAAGCCAAGAGTCCAATTATACCTCCAAAATCAGTAATCTGAAATTAATTCAGTTATATTAGTTTTCATTTTTTTTAATTTACATAGGAATATTCTGCTAAATTTCTGACAAATTAAAACAAACAAATATAACTTAAGAATGTCTTAAAATCTTCAAATATTTAGATATATACCCAACGACTAAAGATATAAGATATGATTAAAGAAGGCAAAGATTGTGTTATGTTAAGTAGATACTAAGATAAACTATATTGATATATAATTATTTTTGTCACATAAAATTAGAAACAAAATGAAGCACTAAACTAAACTCAGCCTGCTAAATCACAATTAATGTTCCAAAAATGATGTCAGTAATTAGCAGGCGTCTCTAATTAGACATAATAATTTGTTGTTGTTGCCTGTGAAATTCATCTATAGATCAGAAAAGATCAGAAAAAGGGGCCGGCCGGGGTTTCTCAAAATTTTCATGCACCACATCCAGCGCCACACCCGGCGGCGCAGCCGTAAAGCTCGACGTCCGCCGTGGAATTAGTCCTCTCCTTGGACATGCCGTCGGAGCAAGAGAAAATTATGGTGGAGATTATGCAGAGTGTAAACAGAGCCGCCCAAAACAGCAAATAAATGTCACCGGCGACACCAAAACTTCCATTACCACCGCCCATCTCTCTCATCAATCTCGCCATTTTTGCAATCTCTCTTCTATTTCTGAGATGGGTTTTGAGAGAGAGAGAAGACCCAGTTGAGTTTTTTGCTGTTGTGGGGAAGTTTTCATTCTCAATTGAGCTTCTTTTATAGTGCTCGAAAGTCAAAATGTTGCACTTCACTGGAGTATAACTTTTTCCTCCTTTTTCTTGGCGCAATTGGTCCATCCGTTTTAGAATAATATTTAAATGTTGATCAGTGAGAACATCTATCATCATGCTAGTTGTTAAGAATTCATGAACTACTCGTTGTCAATTAATTTTGAGATGAAACTACGTCAATATTAATATGGTGCTAGAATCCAAAACGTTCAAACCAGCCTCCGAACAAAATATATGCAATGGTGGTAAATGAGAAATAAATACTCTCATAGGTATTGTTGTTAATTTTGTAGGTAAAAGATATTGGATTTGCACCAGTACTTTTGGGAGGCAAAACTGTCAGTATTTTGAGAGGGAAATTTAAAGCAGATAGTGGATGCTTGATGGTTGGGTTGGATTGGGTGTTTGTTTGCATTATTATCCCACTCTTTATTGTCAAAGCAATATCATGTATACAAATAAAGCGACCCCACGATTATATTCCAACAATAATTAAACATACTTTTTACACTTTTGGAAATATCAAATTTAATTTGTCTTAGTATAACTTAGACTTCAAATTCAATGTTCTGAGAGATTTTTTCAATTTTGTTCCTAATCTTTTTGATGTGACAAATATACGTCTTTAATGTAACCGAACATATTTTTTAATCAAGTCTATACAGAATATAGTCAAGTTATTTTTATTAATTGGGTTGAAAATATCATACATTGTTTTAAATTGATGAAATAAATTTATCCCCATAAAGTCAAAAACCTAATAACATGATTCATAATACTTATCTAACTTGAAGTCAATAGTTGTTATAGAAGATGAATCAATTAAATATTATATTTGCACTTATATGAATCCTATTTTTAAGTTCATTATACAATTTTTAATATTTAGTGATAATACAATGGAAGAATGAAATTAAACATAAAATATGAATTTGAAACTTTTCTTTAAGAATAAAGTAGTATTTACAGAAAGTAACAAGTGATTGAGGAAACAATATATATTGGTCCTATGTTTTGAATCAAAGAAGCAAAGCATATGGCAATAATCAATTGGGGGATCATAATGTTTCAATAATTGCACTAAAAAATTGGTATATGAATTAATAATATTTAAGCCTTTCTTTATGGACTTGACTTTCAATCCATAATGGGACTTCAAATAATGATTTAAAATTCAATAATTTGGGTTAGTGGGGGGTTTTCTGATGGGCAGCTCAAATTAATTTTAAAGAAATGGGAGGGAATCACATCTACCCACACAACATACATAAAAGATTTTTTCATGGCATTAATTGGAGGCCAACTAGGTTTACAAATATTATTACTCAATTCTAACTTAACTAATGTCTTGTCTATTTTAAATGAGGTTATTTCAGCTTTGAGAGTAAAGTGTAATGTGTCTTTTACTGTTAGATTAAATGATGTATATCATTTGAAATTGGAATTTAAAATTTTTTAATAGTGATAAGATAGAAGTTCATTGGTTAATTGTTTTTTTAGTATGAATACAATATGTGAAGGTAAAGATTCGAACTCACAACTTCTCGATCGAAAAATATGGCGTCTTAACTCGTTAAGCTATGCCGATTGACAAAATTCATTGGTTGTTTTTATGACATTTATAATATATGGAGTTAAATATAAATCCATTTTAATTCATTGATATATAAAATGTCTTCTATATATGGTCAAGTTACGAGAAAAAATCAACCATATAGCTAATAATTCTATCCAATTGAATCGTAAATTTGAGTAACTATTTATTTATTTTTTGAGTCTAACAATGTGTAGAGGGAATTTGAACCTGAACCTCCAATCTTTTGATCGAAGACTAATCAATTAAATTAAGTTACGAAAATTAATACCTTATTAGAAGTGAAATTAGAACACAAACTATTCCCCAATCTAAATATAAGGTTGAATGGGACTAAGTATTTATATTTACAAAATTTACCATTAGTTCAACTAAATTATATTCAAAATATCCCTTACTTTGTCAATTTGAATATGGCTAGATAAAATATCTCTATCCCCTTGAATGGTTCAATAAAGATAGTTTGAGACTTCAAGAAATATCTTTGACGTTTTGGATTCAAGCCACAACGAACGCAACTCCACCAAACAATGATCCCTATACGGATAAATATAATCTACATCCCACCCCTTATCCAATTTAACCCACAAACACCCACTACTATATAAAATTAAGTATCCCAAGCTTCACTAATTTTTTAATCAATTAAATATTTTTATGTACCATTAATTGATTCTCCACGAACTAATTCAATTCACACAATACTAATCATCCAAGAACTTCACATATAATGGAGGAGTATAAACAAACAATAATATAAGTGATGATATAATTGCCTTTTTTTTTTATATACAAATTTGCCTTTCTTCTTCGATTATTTAGAGAGAATTTATTACATTAAAACGCATTATTTATAATAACACTGCATTTATTTATCTCACTTTCTTATCTTTGACGGGTCCTCTTGGAATCTTGTTGAGGAACTTGGAATCAAAATTTCTGTAGGATTTCTTGGTCTGATAAATGGCCTTCCCAGCAAAATGATCAACCTCTTCTTCATACTTCTCGTACAGAAATGGCAGAGTTTCCATGGCCACAAACCCTAATTATATTCATCATTTTCAGGCCAAATTAAATTACAAATAATTCAATTTAAAATCTCCTAATAATAATAATGTTAATGATTCTTTGAGTGACATATTTTCTTACCGAAATAAAGGAGATTGAGAAAGCTAATGTAAGATCCAATCACTGACAAAAGATATAGACAAACAATTGCCTGAAAGTGAAAGCACAACCAAAGAAAAAGGTCGGATAATTAATGATTTTTTAGTCCAGAGAAAAAAAGAAAGAAAAATTGGAAAGCCCGTGAAATTTATAATATATTACCAGAAAGAAGAGCGGGAGATCTCTTCCATAAGCGATATCGAAAAGCTTGGCTAAGAACTGGTTGATTCTTGTGTGGAAAGTGGAGGCAACTTCTTTGAATGCTGATTCTTTTAATATTACTTCAGGCAACCGTGGAGGATCCCTGATGATGAATCATGAATCATGAATCATGATCAACTAATTATTAATTAATGTAATTATTAACCTCAACTTGCAGCAGTAAAGTTTAATTTGTTGTAGTTATTGAGATCTGATGATCTTATGATCCCTTCCAATCTATGGCCAGCAGCACAACTCTTGTCCACTTTAAATGATCTTCAGTGATATCTATTCTACTACTGCTTACTTTTAAATTCGTATATAGTAATGGACTTCAAAGTAATGTGACATCTTCACATGATGATAATTAAAATTCTTCTGGATCTCAAAAATGGTATTATTATGACGCTGTTGTTGAGTAACATTTTCGTTTTAGTTTTCACTCTTTTAATAGTTAGACTTGCTTGTGCAATTTTCGTTACGAAATTTTTCACCACTCTTGAAAATATCTTTGAATTTTTAGCCAAATTTTAAAAACAAAAAAGTTTTTGTTTAAAAAAATAATCGATAGCTCTTTAACTTTTAACTCTATAATTGGGAGGCAATTGTCTGCCCCAAAAAGTTGGAGCCAGAGACCTAACGAAATTTTCATATTAAGCTCACCAAAAAGTTTAACATAAAACCTAAAGGTGGGTGATATCACAACACTCATCTTACCCTCCCCAAATTTGAAAATAAAAAACAAGTTAATTTTTTTTATTGCTTTTAAAATCTGGCCTAAATTTTAAGAATGTTGATTTAAAAAGACTATATATAACAAAACAAAAGAGCACCGAGATGGATATAGTGTTTCTAAGCTCAGTTTTTAATAGTAGAACAAAAAAGAAAGTTATCAAACAGTCTTATATTTTTCAATATGAATCCTTAAACTCTAGCGACGGAGTTTCGGTTGCATGATGATGTATATAGGGGCAACTGTTAGCGGGGTAATGGTGGGCGAAGACATACCATTTGAAAATTTCAGCTCCAGTGCACCAAATGAAGAAGACGAGCATTGAGGTGATGGAGAGGTGGCAAATGAGGGTGACAAAGTTGTATTCAACAACCTCAAACAAAAACCATACCACTGTCATTCCCAGCAAAAGTGCAGCCGACAACTTGGTGTTCTTCCACAACAACATGTCCGCAACTGTTCATTCATCAAACACATACAAAATTGAAACAAGAAACTCATTATAATAAAAATCTGCCTCCATCAGGAATGTATTTTTAATATTCATCCATTCATCTCAAAATTAAAACTAATTGACGAGGAGGAGAAGAGTAGCTCAAACTCAAACTAAAAGGGAGTGAAACTAACTCGTGGTAGCTTTTAATTATTACCTCTCCCTCCTCCGAGAATTTCACGTATGGGACGGCGTCGGCCGAAGAGCTTTGATGGAGGAGGTGCCGAATCATCGTCGGAGTCGGAGTAGATCGGCATGGTATGGGTCGGAGGTCGGAGCACGGGTCAAGTACGAGGTAATATAAATTAGTTTTGTATTTTGAGGTTGTAGAGAAGGGGGGTGGGAAGTAGTTAAAATTAGGTGTATATGAAAGGGGAAGGGGTTCTAAGCTTGGTAGTAAAGAAAGCTAAGTTAAAGGAAGGAATGGCTTGTGGGGGATATGGCTGTGGCTTTTCCTTTGCATATTCGCCCCTACAAGAAAGGCAGTTGCTCATCTTTTCATGTGTTCTTCTTCCATTCAGCTTTTCAAACAAAAACACCATTTTTTTCTTCCCCATTTTTCGAGTTAAAAAAACTTGTCAATCAGTCTTGTTTGTTAGGTTTTTCTTCTCTGTATTATTTGTTTTAAATTATAGTTCGGGTTCATCTTCTTTTTTAAGTACAAATTGAACAAAGTGCTCATCACCCCCTTAGTAAAAACAAGTGTCTGTTTAACTATGCGATTTTAAAGTTGTAAAATAAAATGGAACCAAATGGGGTTGCAGCCCTATGTCACTGGTGTGATTTTTTTCTTCTTAAAATACTAGTAAAGAAATTGAAAATAGAATGAATTTTGTGGTTTATAAAGAATTTTATCGACTAGAATAGTTGTTATTACGTTATGAAATTGATTCTTTAATTTATATGTGGATTCTATTAGAATCAATTGGACAAGTCGTAAGTGTCAATTTGAACCTAATGAATAAAAGACATCTATTATGGTTACTAAAGTTATTGGTTGGATTTCAAAAAAACAAGTAAGTATACGATACTATGTTTTTCCTTAAGTTTATGTTGCTTTATATATTTTTTTTTTTGAACAGTTTACTTCATTTATGTTTTAATACATGCTAATTACTACTGACGCTTTGTCACAGTTAAATCAAAATTTTTGCGAGATATATAAAGTTATCCAAAGGTAAATCAAAATTCTTGCTAGATATATAAAGTTATCAAGACGTTATAAGAAAATCAATAATATAATTCTATTGGTATTGCTCAATTTTTGGATTCAATTTACTAAATGAGCAGTCAGCAAATCTCAACTCCATTGTTAACGTCACCCAGCAAAAATCGGAGTCCTATATGAGCCCAAAAGTGTAAATACGTGGGCTATACAGAGAAATGGGCTTAGGAGTGGGCCGACATATGAGCCCAAAAGTTTAAAGTTTCCGGCCCGAAGTCAGCGTGGTATTTGGAACATCTGTTGAGGGAATTTATACATATTTGGTTACTTTTTTTTTTCTTTTCTTTTTCTGAGACACACATATTTGGTTACTAAACTAAATTTATTTGTTTGTTTTTTTTATAATCTCTGATGATATTTTCAATTTCTGAATTGTCCTCAATCTTTTTCGTCGAAAAGAGATAAAATCTTTCCGAGATAGAATACGTGTGCTAAGCTATGCTCGTGTTAGCCTTATTTTAAAATTTCGCTTATTATTTGATTATAATATGTTATATAGCAACCAATTGTTAGTAGTAATTAATTTAGCTTGTTATTTGATTAGAATAGGTTATATAGCAACTAACTGTCAGTAGTAATTGAAATTCAACCTTACATGTTACCTTTTATTTTATTTTGGCAATTTTTTAATTGAGACGGGTACTTAATGTCATAAGATTCATATTTATTTTACCATTCTATTCATTTAAAATATTGTCTAATGTAATATAACAATTTAATGATGAGATCCAAAACAATGTAATTTTTACAACAATTTAATGATGAAATACTATCGTTTTTTTAGTTCAACAATTACATTGATGAAATCAAACTATAAAAAAAAATTTAATGGTAATAGATGTTCAAATTTACATAAAAAAAACATACTTTTACACAAATTTAGGATGATTAGAACATATACAAATATAGGATTTAAATGTATTAAAATTAAAATTAATATTTTTATAATTATAATTGGAAAAATGAAAAAGATATATGGTGGAGAATTGGGAGCATGCTCGGTGATAGTGAGCTAATGATTATGAGCCGTATGATCATCATTAATCAAAGTGAGCATGCACATAAAAAGTTGGCAACCTATCATAACTTTTAAGGCCCCATTTAATCATCATTCTAAGCACCCGTCTCCTGCTGCACTCACACTATGCAAATCAATAATAACGATTGCGTGGCTATTTACATTTTTTCGTCATTCTCTTTCTATCCTTGTATATCATTCATTTACGTCTATTAATCTAGTATCTATAAATTTCTATTAGTAATAGACTATTGCTCATTTACGTCTATCATAGAGAAAACTGACTCACTCTCACACTTCTGAATTCAAGCTAAAAAGAAAAACTTCAAAGAAGGAAGACATAATCACAACATAGATATACGTGATTTGTCTGATAAGAAAAATAAAATAACCTTCCAGGCCAATCCAAAGAGATCAATAAGTCAAAAGACCGACTGACATGGATCAACAAATTACAAGACTGATTAAAAGAGAGCAACAAATTAAGAAACCGATTAAAAAAAATCAACCTATCGAGATGGTGATCCAAAGAAATCAATAGAGCTAGAAACCAAACAAACACTCAATCAAGCTTTTAAGTTCTTAAAAAAAAAAGTTCAAAAGAGTAAACATTACAATTTATTCCTGCTACAAAAAAAATATACAGTATCAAATTTAGTTCTTGGCATTAAAATTTTTCAAACATTTCGTGTGAAATTTTCTCATGCTCATTTATCATTAAAAATAATTTTTAAAATTCTAAATACATTTCGTTTAAAAATATTAGTAGAATCTTGAGTTAAAACATTTCTGACGCTGTAATTTTATTTCTTTTCCTAATTTATTTTATTTTAGACAGTTACAAATATGATAAAAATATTTAGTAAAATTAGCAAAAGGACAATTGCATTTAATTTTTTCAAATATAACACTCTAAAAAAGTGGAGGTCGAATTTTAAAATAACAACTTTACCCAAATAATATATATCTATAACATATCAATACTATATATGACTATTGATATATGTATGCGATATACATATGATATAATATTGATACGAGTGTCTGAATAAAATGTATGTGATATACATCTACTATATTACTTATATAAATATGTGATATTTGTTGATATAAGTGGAGATTTTGTTATATTTAAAAATTTTAAAAACAAGTCACATATTTTGAAATATATAAAAACATTTTTTTACCCACTACAATTTTCCTAATTTTTTTCTCTAACGTTCTCAGTCTAAGTATTTTTCCTTTAAATTTTCTCTCATTGACATTTTTCTCTAACATGTTTTCTTTTCCTCAACTTTACTCTTTCCTCTATCTAAAATTTCTTCTTATGTAATTAACTTTTTGTCTCAAATATTTCTGTCCCTTTGTCTAACTAATATTCTCTCAAATATATATCTCACTCTCTATTTTTTTTTCTCTGTAAAGCTTTTTTTTTATCTCTCTAAATTAGTTCTATCAATTTTTTTTTTCTAAAAAGTCCATCTCTAATTCTTTAAACTTTATTTTCATGGCTCCATGTATCTATATCCTTCTCTGATTTTTGTCCCTCTCTAAAGCTTTTTTTTTTCTCTCTCTAAATTAGCTCATATATATATAACATATATGTTCCTCTCTAACATATCTCTCAAACTCTAACTTTTTAAAAAACAGAAAACCTACATATTTAAATAAAAAACAGTTATCAAATAGGTATGATTTTTTGTTTTCTTAAAACTACAAAACCAAAAAATCAAAAACAGAAAATCCAAAAATCAAAAACAGAAATAATCATCAAACCGCCTACGATTCTGTGTAATTTCAAAGTTTGATGCTCAACAGGATTTCTTTGACAAAGTTCGTAGTGAAACTGGTGACTAATAGTTATTAACGTGAATTTCCATAAAGGAGGTGAATTCAATGATGATATCCCATGTGGCTGCTCAATGGAGAAGAACTATTCCTATGGATGGAGATGTAACAATTATTTCCATCAACCTCACCGAAAGAAACCAGAGTCCCATTAGAAGAAGTGGGCTCCATAATTTCATGATAGCAATGATTTAAAAGGAAAAAGCAGAAGGCAAAAGAAAAAAACCAAAACAGAAACAGAGATAAAAAGAATTGTTTGATAATGATAAGGAAATGCCCATTCATACTTCTTCCTCTGTACTTGAGGTAGAAATGCTGGAATAGATCCTATATTCATGCCTAATCATTACTATTATCTTTGCTTCCAAACTACTTACTCAATAACATTTCTAGAGGCTCATCTTTTTTTAATAAGATAGGCACTGAGTTAAGTTATGCACATTTATGTAGTTACCTTCCAACATAAATCAATGTGTATGAAAGATATGACTTAAGCTTCTATATTATTCAGTAACTAGTATAGAAGATTACCTTACAATATGAAGGAGAAATGTCAGAGGGAGCTGCTGCCCCTTTGAAATTTGCTGCAATGATTGAGAAGCCCAGTTGGTAGCACAAGAGATCTTTGACTCTGGTATTTGTCCTTTTGTACTGCGTTTTCCAAAGTAGCCAAAATTTCAGGAAATTTTCTCTTCCTAGTGCCTTCTACTGTTGTTAACTTTGATAACCTACAAAACAGAAATGTGAACATGAATCCATGATGATGATCTCCTGCTCTCTGTATAATTTTCTTTAAATCTTTTTTCAGACCATATTCTCCAGGCTATAAATTGAGAAGCAACTTAAGACATTTTCACACAACATCCCACATCTCTCACACTTCCTCTCTTTTAAATCTCTCTCTTATACACACCTGAAGGGAAGTTCAGGTATCCTCAGAGGGAAAAAATGAAGGCACCACAGATTGCACTGAGCATCTTGGTGATGTTTATCATGGTGGAGGTCTCAGTGGCAGTGACTTGCAGTCCAGTGCAACTGAGCTCCTGTGTGAGTGCAATTACATCTGCAGTTCCACCTTCTAAGCTCTGCTGCTCTAAGATTAAGGAACAGAAACCCTGCCTCTGCAAGTACATGCAGAACCCCACCCTCAAGAAGTTTGTGGACTCTCCCAATGCCAGGAAAGTTGCTAACACCTGTGGAACTCCATTTCCCAAGTGCTAAGATTTGGCCCCCCCACCCAAAGGCCTTCCTCCATCAAGGGGACAAAGAGACCTGTCATTTCTACTGGCCTGCATCCAATATTATGTGTTTGATATTAGTTAAAAGATAATCTATATGTGTGTGTTTGACTTCAGTGAGTGTATGTTATTGAGATGGGAGTAATATCGTGTTGGATCCTGCTCTTATGACATCCCCTTTTTCTTGTCTTAGATCTTGTTCTGTTATGTTGTTTGTAATAGTAATCAGATTTGGACCAAATCTTCTTACCCTTCCACCTCCCCAATCCTCAAAACTTTCTGGTATCGTACCTGCCTCAAAAATTATATTTGAAAAGATCAGCTAAATATTTGGTATTGGTAGGCATCCACCCAGTGCAGACCAGCCAACAACTATAATCAGGAAAGTCAATGGCTGGCCTCCAAAACTCATATTTCATAAGAGCAGCTAAGTATTTGGCATTGTCAGGCATCATCCAGTGCAGACCAGCCAACAACTATAATCAGCAAAGTCAAATATAAATGGGCGGCCTCCAGAAACTCATATTTCAAAAGAATCACACTGCCAGAAGTTTGGTGCAGACGAGCTAACAGAATTAAATTCTTTTATTTAGAGCGGAATTAATGATTCGAAAAGATCAATCTTGTTGTGTCCAAGCTGACACAATAATATAAATTCTGGAGGGAAACTCCAAAATCAATTAAGATGTACAAAAGGTTGATATCAGAAGGTACTTACAAAAAAAATGTATTTTCACAAATTGAGAAGGTTTGAAATTGGGTTCCATCCCATAATCCATGGTCTTTTGTCGGAAGGAACAACAAAATTGAGTTCAAACATCTCCCTGGACACGTTTCCTCCTTCACAGAACCCTACAAGCTTTGCCACTATCTCTGCGCTCTCCTGAATGTGCTTGGGGTCGTGAGGATTTGTCCAGAGCTTGTTTACAAATTGGATTTTCCTCTGTTTCCCTTCAAGTGGTACTTCCCATTTAATGTACAACGCATCTCTTTCTTCTGCTGTCAAACGTGAAGTTAGTCTCTTTGCAAGAAACTCTCTTTCACGTCTCAATGCCCTCATGCTACAGAGAAGAACAAGATAGAGGGAGAAAAATTAGGGTAATCATTCCAATGGATTGAGATCGAACCAATAAGATACAGAAAAGACAGAAGAGAAACCTTGACGAGCGAGAGATTGTTGGTTCATCTCCAACGTGAGCTGGGCTAGCATTGCCAAATTCCGCTAGGTGCTGCTGCAGCCATGTTAAGCGCCGCATCTCTACTTCCAGGTAAATCTGATCAGCTTGGTCGCCCTTAAATAACAAGTAGAATTGAGATCTGTGAATAATGGAGACGTAGCAAGCATCCCATAACTCAATAATCTGCTGTCTTTGCTCCCTGAAAGTCACATGCCACGGAACTTGGTCGTCATCCGGCTCAAATGTGTTTTCATCACTCTCTAATTTGTTCCCAGCTGCTTCGTTTGCTTCAAGCTCAAGGACCTGCATACAACATTATATATGTACAAAAATTAGTTATGATATTAACAAAAATTATATGGATGTATGAAAATCAAACAAAAATTATAGCACACCTGACAAACAAGTAGCTGTTTTTGGTACTGCAGTTTAGCCACACGTTCTTTCAATTCCGTCACATATGCTCTAATGCTTCTTACGTTTTCTTCTGCTGCATTTTGGAACATTTTTTGCATCTTCTTCATGTTCACAGAACTTGATCTTCGATAACAAGGAGTGCTCTCCTTTGACGAGACATCTCCACATTCTTCACTCTTTGTTGGAGTCTCTTTCTCAGACTCGAGCAGAGTCTCAGATGAGACGACATCATCATTCTCAGGAGCTCTATTTTCAATTTCGGACTCCAATACTTGCTGAGAAGTTGTTGAAGGTGAGCATGGCGATCTTAAGAAGTTTGGGCGGTTGGCAACATTACTTGAGGCCAAAGGAAGCAATTTCTTCTTTTTGTTATAACTTTTCTGTTTGGGGGTTGATTCACTGCTCATTAACTGCTGATAATTGCTTGGAAGAGACATTACCAACTTGTCAATAGACTTCTGAACATTTTCAAGTTGCTCCTCTAGATTTGCAATGGTGCTACCTTGAGAATGAAGTCGTGTTATCTCTTCCTTAAGATTAGCACCTACACTTTGGTTAGTAGCAATAACACTCCCAACCTCAACTTCTTTTGGTGCTGAACGGACTGATCTCATTTCTTTAATTTCAACTTGCAGCTTTGCAATTGTTTCTGCTGCATCTTGGTTCCCCAGTCTGTGACAAGCCACCTCCTTTTGCAGTACTTCGAGGGCTCTATTAGCTTCCTCCCCGAGCTGCTCCTGGAGATGTTCCAGCTTGCGAATTTCATGCATAAGTGTGAAAGGAGCAGTGGACGATTGCCTCATCATAGACTGCCTTAATATCATACCACGACCGAGGTCCTTGCCATCGAATTTCTGAGACAGTGTACCAGTAAAGGACAAGCACTTCTTCACTGGAGGACGGGCAGATTCAATTGGTTTAGAACCCTGAAAATAAAAATGGATGTTGTTATTCTGTCCTCGAGGAACATGTATTACTAGGGAGAACGGATTTGTCAGTGAGTGCACTCAGATAGGAGAGAGGGAGACAGACCTGCTGGTCTTCCTCAAGTTTTCGGCGGAGCTCATCGACCTGGGATTGAGCAAGGTCTCTTTGTCGTTTTAATTCTTCAATCTCCATTTCCATCTGGATTTAATCAAATACTAAGTTCTGGTTGATTCCCTCAATTTCATGTTGAGAAATGTCAAATTGAAATGTAAATAAATTACCTGCTGGATTTTAAAATCTTTCTCCTTTTTCGGGTCAGGAGTGCGTAGTTCAGCTTCTAGCCTGGCAACTTCCTTCTGTAAATGTTTGACCAATTGCTTGTCTGACACAACCTATTCAAAATTTTTCCAATGAGAAGTTATGAGTTACAGATTTACTTTTGCATACGTAAACTGTGGTGAGGATAATGTGGTTATTACCATATTAACTTGGGCGTTATTAGTTACTTCCTTTGCCCGGGTGGCAAAGAATAAAGTGTTCCGCGATTGTTCAACATGAGTCAGGGCTGGACTCAATGTGCATATAATGGCAGTTCGTGCATTTCCACCAAGTGAATGCTGCAATATGCGGGTCAGCTTTGAGTCCCTGTAAGGTATATGACCACTTCTCTTCCCAAGACTGCAACAATAAACAGAAATTTCAAATACAAAATAGAACTCTGCAGCAAAAATATTTTTGAAAAAAGCATACAGAAAAAGTTTCAGATGCAATGAATGTTCATGTTTTTCACGAAAAATATTCTTACCTCAGCTTTCTGATCACAGTTGTGAGCGTCATCAAACTAAGGTTAATATGACAGCCTTCTCTTAGCCTAGCACCATCAGCATGTGTCTGTGAAGCTCTCTCACTTCCAGCCAGATCAACAAAGTTCTGCATAATGTTGCAAATTAGTTTGGCCAAGAAAAAGTTGATATAATAGTACAAGATTTTATTATAAAAATGTGAAAAAAATTGTCCTACCAAGCTTGCCACGAAAGACCTCACGCAACCTGAATTATCTCGTAGGGTACTTTGAATTGTCTGCATAGACAATCAAAGCATTTACAGTACATCAGTTAGTTAAAAAGAAAACCTTTCAGCTAAGGGCATCAAGGTGCATAATTTCCACAACAAAACTGACCAGCCTTATTATCTGGTGTGACCGAGAGCTATAGTCATTTAATGCAGTTTCACCAACTTGTCTTTGAGCTACAAAATAAAGTTGAGTTAATATCAAACAGTTAATATTCTGAAGCCACATTAAGCAAACTAAGCGAGGACATCAGTTATTACCCTCGCAGATGCTAATCAAATGTCTCAAATGTTGGTCATCATTTGCTGTTTCCTCTACTAATTTCTCAACCATTGTACCTTTCTGCATAAATGGAATCACAATTACTCAGTTAATTGGAAATATAATTCACCCAATGAATCATACTTCCTTTAACCCTTACACGTTTAATTATGAATAATACCTCTGGATCATCAAGAAGCTTTAGGTTCCGACCAGATTCTGTATTCAATAGATCTCTAACATTCTCATTGTATATCTCCAGTCCTGAAATTCTTATAGTAAAATCCCTCTCGGGTGTCTGTAAAATAACCAAAGGTTACCTGATGGTTATTCAAGGCACGAAATACTAGCAGAAAACAATTCGGTTCAAAACGCTAAAAGCTTACATTACTAATATGCTGGTAGATATCATTAACAGCTTTCTCTGTTATCCCCCTCATTGTAAATGTCTTACCACTACTAGTTTGCCCATAGGCAAATATGGTGGCTGCAACATAAAACAATATATAATCATCGATGCACTATCATCTAATTTGAGCGAAAAAAGAAATGAATTGGTAATCTTTTTACCGTTGATGCCCATTAGGGCAGATAAGGCAACATTCTTTACTCCTTCCTCATATACTGCCTCGGTCAAAGAAGCCGGTCCGAAAACTTTATCTACAACAACAAATAAATAATTAGAGTGAAACAACACATATAATTCTTCAGGAGAGAGATTAATGGTAGAAATATCTGGAAGGAAAAAAACAATGATCGGATGCCATTAGTACCGAATGTAAACGAGGCCGGTTGAGTTTGACGTTCCTGAGGTTGGGGTTTGTACACAATCGTACTATCATCAATGCATTCCCATGCCATTTGATCCTTCGCTTGATGCTCCTTTTTGCTTAGCGGCCTTAACCGCACCGTAACAACGATCTTCTCTTCCCTAGATCGAGGTCCTCCAGGGGTCGATGCCGGTGTCCTCTCTGTCTTCGAAGCTGGCGTTGCAGGAGTTTTGATAGTCATCGTGATACTTAATGTATGGTTTTCCTTCACAGTCGTACCAACAACAGAGAAGGGAGGGAATCGATTAAAGATTTAGAAGTCCTTCTCGAGAAACAGCCAAATTATCTGCTGCAGATTGAAGATCATGAAATGAATTTACTAAAACCAAACACAATTCAGTGTGGAATGAATAGAGTTGAAGAAAATCATACGTCAACTCAATGCAAAGAGAAATTAAAAAGATGTCAGAAAATCATATGTGGACTGTGTTGTATTTTAATCAAACACGTGACGGTCCAGTAACCTTTCTAATCTTGGACTCCAGATATTGAGCTCCATTAAACCTTTTTGGAGAACAAGGCCCCCAAAATTTCTTAGCTGATTCCAATCGAAGAATTTCCACACCAGATCTCATGTTCAGAAATCATAAAAACTCAACGGTACATTGCTTTACGTTCGATTTGAGGGGAAAGTGGAACTTCCGTCTCATGAACTCACTCTATAAGCATAAAATGAACGAAATGACAGAAACACAAGCAGCATTCCACAAAAACAAAATCAAACTAGTTCTCAAGGAAAATTTTGCCTAAAATCAAGCAAACTGGGAGTAGTTCTCACATTAAATTCGAGCGGAATTGGAGCGGATCGGAGCAACTTAGACGGCAAACACACTCCGAATTCAGATCTAACTCTTGGGCCGTAAAATTCGCAGCGACAGAAGAGAGAGAAAGCGTAAGAGAGAGCTTCAAACTTCCCTTCTTAGGGTTTCAGATAGGAATCGGAGAGAGAAAGATAGAGAGAGTGAGAGAGGAGCGAGCAATCTTTGTCTCTATGAAACGAAAAGTTACGTTTGAGTTTCTGAGCGTACGACCAATCGATTTGAATCCACGAGGCCACAACGGCTAGTTTTCCTTTCTCTTTCTTTTTTTTTTTCCCCTCTAAATAGTCTTTTAATTATTATTGTTGTTGTTACAGGTTTGTCGATCTTTTACACTGGCCGAGTTGAGTGGGACCCGGTTTCAAGATGTTACCGTTTGTATCTTCAATATGATTTTCTATTTATTTAATATAGTTCTCACAAAAGACAAAAATAAAGAAAGTTGTATTGCTTAACGGCCCCTATAACTTTTCATTATTTCCGTTTCATCCCTATTGATTCAGGAGCATGAGTGAATTATCGCTAGACATACATATTTTTTTTTAATGGATACAGATAATGTCTTTTGAGGTTGTTTTAGAAACTTATTTACACAAATATCTAAAATTTTCTAATTTTACATTTTTAGATTTCTACATATAAGATTTTATTTTAATTCTGATTTTACTCTTATTTATTGTATTTATATTTATTATAATTAGTCTTTTATTTAAATGCAAAAAATTAATATTCCAAATTTGATTTCGTAAACATTAAATTATTGTGGGACCTAAATCAACCATTCTCATAATCCCTTGATTTACTCCTTAATATATTATACTAAAGAAAATTTATTACAAAATATTCAATTATTATGATAATCCCCAAATTTACTCATTAATATATTCTACTAAATAATGAAATTTATTACAAAATATTGTTTCATTTCATTACAATTTTTTGCCAAATTTCAATAATATAGTCGTTATAATATACACTTGTATGGAAAGATATATATTTATGTGGAGATTTAAACTATATCCGACTACCTTTTCATTTATATGGAAATATAAACTATATCTGGCTATAAACTTAAGCAACATACACTTAACAATTGTGATATAAACTATAGTCATTATAACATAACTTATATCTAGCTATAAAGTATATATCACTATATCTCTCTACAATTAACAAACAAAGCAAATAAACTACGAACCTTCTGGTCGGCGACTAGACAATGGTTGGGATAAACGGAGGGCTCGAATGGTCGATGAGCGGCCAACGACAAAAAAAGAAACATCGGGATAAACGGACGGAAACAATGGACGGGCGACCGGAGACGAAAGAGAAGCTAGACAGACTGTTCCTACGACGAAGAAGAACGAAGACGGCGACCGGAGATGAAGGAACGAGACGACGGCCGGAGATAAAGGAATGGACGGAAACAGAACGACAGAGGAAGAAGAAAAGTCGGAGGAAGGAGATTTTCGAATTTTTTCAATAATGAAGCATTTTGGGGATTTGATATTTTTTAGTTCTGGAAAGTTTAATTAGGCAAAATTTAAGGGATTTAAAATGTAACTTTGGATTTTAAAAATTAATTAATATTGAGGTGAGATACAAAAGAATATATTAAAAACTCACCTGAAACTGTCTGTGCCTTAACCACTTGAGCTATGCTCGATTTGATACTTTCTCTTAGTTTTTATTATATGGTCAAATGTATACACTCAATCGACCGTTCTACAAAATGAAAGACTGAATATATTATTATTCCATTTTTAGATTTTTAAAATTACTTGTATATCAACTTAGGATATTAAAGACTTGTTGAGAATAATTTTAAAACGAGTTGAATTTTGTAGAAGTGATTTTATTGATTTTTTTAAATGTTTGGTTACACATTTCTAAAATAATTTTCATATAATTAAAAGTGGTTTTAAATGGTTAATATTTGATTTAAAAAGTAATTTTAGGATCACCAAATTAATAATATATATTTAAAAACTTAATTAACACCATTTATTTGGTAATTATGATGAAACAATATATGATATGTATAACTAAATAATCAATCTCAATAATTTTATAGGGAGAAATTTTGTAGGTTAGAGAAAAATGTTAGAGAGAGAAATAAACTTAAAAGGAGATGAGGACTAAAAATTCAGAGAGATTACAAAAATTCCAGGGATAACAAAAAATAAAAAAAGTTAAGAGAGACAACTTTTAGAAATGAAAAAAATAAATCTCTCAAAATTTGCAATAGGAAAACAATTTTGAAATTTAAAACAATAACCATTTTAGAAATTAATTTTTTATTTATTTTTTAACAAAAAAAAAGCAAGAAATCTCTAATTCACTAAGGTGTGAAACCTAATTTTGAAGAAAGAGATTGATGTATAATTAATTTTTCAAAATCACCTTAAAAATTAATTTAAGTGATTTTAAACCTTCAGAATCAACTTTTTAATTTGCTAAAATGAAAAGTGAATGATTTTGACAATGATAAAAGTTATTTTTGGCAATGTCAAAATTACTCTCAAACACACTTGAGTAACTTAAAAGTGATTTTAGATTTTTTAAAAAACACAACCAAACATATCCATTTCAAAATGAAAGCGATTTTATCCAAATATATTTGGGAGTCACGATCAAAATTACTTTTATTATTTTCAAAATGACTCAATTAAGGTAATATATATTAACTTTCAATTTCATGGGAATATTTTCAAAGTTACAGTTCAACCAATCGAATTTAAACTTAAATATAGTAAAAAATATATTAAAATAATTACATTAGAAAAAATACAAAATTGTGACATTTTTTTAGAATACCCATCAAATTTATGGTAAAGAAGGTAATTTCCCCCGGATGATTTTAAGCATTTGAACTTATGACCCTCTATACTCAAAATAGATATGATCAGAATGCACTATACCTCGTCTCTTATTTGAAACAACTATGCTCAAATATGATACGCTTTCATCCTTAAAATTAAATGGAAGAGATTTTGTTTTCCAACTCTATTCTCAATTCAATATTGTTGACCTCTCAGTCCAAACCAAAACCCGACACCTAACCTCACCTCACAAGGAATTTTATTTTAACGATAAGTTAGATTAGAACTTAGAAAGAATGGTTATTTTATTTCTAGTAGGATAATTCTCAGGAATTGACAATTATGCGTAATAGACCCTTAAAAGAAAGTAATTAAAAATAAGAAACAAATAAAATTAATAATTCCTAGTGCGTCAAGTCTTCCCTCGGAAACTTCATACTAATCTTTTTTTTTTCTTTTTAATTTATTAAAGTTGATTTCCATGATTAATAAATAAAAAGTTGAAGAAGAGTTGAATAATAAGAAACTAACGGTGGTTTCTGGGGTGGATTCACCTCCTGAGGAAAATTCCAATTCACGGCTATCAAATTAATTGGTAATTTTACAGTCAAGTCAACTCAATCAGTTCCCATTGCAAAATATATCATATTTTCCAAATTTCCCTGTTTCTTGTCCACTTTCCCGGAAAGTACCGGCAGCATAAGGAGGTCATCTCTTTCTCCCAATTTCCCAATTTCCAAATCAAAATCGTCCTCTGTTCATGAGCTCTCACAGAAATGAAAACTCCCGCCCCTCTCTTCTTCTTCGTCGCCTTCTTCTTCTCCTCCGTCTGGTCTGATCTTCCGCTCTGTTCCGGCGAGGACGCCCTCAGTGAATTTAAAGCTTGCGGCGTCGATTACAATTGCGGAAATTTGGTAAACATCTCCTATCCTTTTTGGGGAAACGAGCGGCAGGACTTTTGCGGGCGGCGAGAATTCGTGCTCAACTGCAAACAAAACCTAACCACCACGATTCAGATCAATTCTCTGGAATATAAGGTTCTCCACATCAATCAAACGGATCATAGAATGACGATCGCGAGATCAGATCTCTTCGATGATTACTGCCCTAAAAATCAAATCGAAACGGCGAAGTTTGATCACCATCTACTCACATATTATTGGTACGATCGGAACATGTCGTTCTGGTACGATTGCCCGCCGCAACAGGGAATTCCGGACGAATTTAGATTCTTTTGCGGGTGGGAAGGGGAAAGAAGTGGAAGAGCGAATTATGCTTTGGAGCCTGAGGAGATGAATTTGAGTGGAAATATAAGAGGGTGTAAAATGAACGTGGAAGTGRCAGTTACGATAGAGGGATTGGAAGAAGGAAAAGAGAACAGAACGGCGCGGCTGGAGAAGGCGCTGCAGCGAGGGTTCGATGTGGAGTACGGGGATTTGCATACCATGGCGTGCGACGTGTGCAAGCAAAGTGGCGGCTATTGCGGAGCAAACGCGACGTACCCATTTTACTGCATTTGTGGGAACAGAGGAGATGCACATCCTTACGTCTGCATAAACATATCCAGTAAGTCTATTTCCCTTTCTAGAGAACGAAGTGTGTTTGGATTGTTTCCCAAATTTTTATATAATCTTGAGAATATTTTCAAAAAAATGAAAAAAAATAAGAAATGTACTAAATTGCAAAAAGCTTTGAGATTCTTAATAAAATTGGGAACTAAAAACACGGAAATGTTACTAACGGACTTCTAATAACCATATTCTATGTACTTGTGGTTTGTTTGGTAAATTTAACGGTATCAAATTATTACCGCCATTTATGAAGGCCTCTAGTGGAGCTAGAAATCTTTTAGAGACAAGCGAAATTTTACAGGGACAAAAGAAATAAAGTTCAGGATAATTCTAGAAAGAAGAGAAAAAAAATTATCAAGACTTCTATACAGCTGTTCTTGCAATGTAGATTTAAAAATCTCTGTTACTATGTTCTAGTGACTATATATTTGAGATAGTTTTATAATTTTTATTTTAAAAATTCAACGGTGTAAAATTGTCGTAACCAATAGAATGTTACGGAGTTTATAGACAGCCAATAGTGTTAAAGTCAACATTCTTACCAGTCAAAGTCGTGATGATCTTAGCTGACCGATGAAATTTGAGGCTAAAAAGTAGGCCCCACGAAACCTTAAAGTTTGAGGCTACGTCCATGGGAACGTGTCAGCAACTGTTAATAATGTGTGTTGTGGAAGTAAGGGAATCCTCAGATTTGACTGTTTAAAGTCAACAAATCTTATACGCATTAAATAATAATACACTACACGAATAATATTAACTTATAAATGCGATTTGAAAATTCTAATTTAATAATAAACCAAAAAAAAGAGAGAAAATTGTAGTTTAATACCCTCATATCTTGACTTCTTCTTCTTTTCTTTTTGTTATTTTTTTTTATTATTCTATTGAATGTGGCTGAAGTGTGAACTATTTTTCATTTTGTTAGATTTTTTTTTATTCTATTAGAATTTGGCTGAAGTGTGAACTATCCAGTTAACATTTAAAACATATTAATGTAAAATTATAAAATTTGAAGATTAGAAATTAAGAACCATAATGGGATTGGGTTTGGAGTTAGAGAAATGCAAATCTCATCCATCTCCAATATCAAAATCATAAAGAAAATTTGTCAAATCCCATCTCCCTCCCCATTTAAAATAGGATAAATCTCATGGACTATTTTCATGGAGAAAACTGCACCTCTAATCTATGACTGAGATAAAATTTCATAGATTACATTCTTCTCTTTTAAATAAGACTTCGGAAAATGATGGAAAATGAAGATATAATTAATGAAAATCAATCTTTATATTAATTATTATTGAAAAATTGAGAGCTCGTTATTTAAAATAAAAAAAAATTCTATTATATATATATATATATATATATTTTAATTATAAAATATTTAACGATGGTACGAGGCCTCCCAAGTCTTCGTGCCAGTAGCCCCTATTCTTACGGTCCTCCTCCACATGTTCTTCTAAAGGCCATTCTCCCTCTTACCGCCATAGCAAAGTCAACTGTTTGACCATCCTAAAGGGTAGTTTAGTAAAAACACTCCTTATTTTCCTATTATTCTTATACCCTTCTCAACTCTCTGCTCCCCGTCATTTATGACGTCACTCTTGCATCTTCAAAACCTAAGCAGCTTTAATTTCATTAGCGAAGGTCTTTACTCTTCCATCTCTTTTAAACCAAGTTTCCTTTAAATAATCTATATTTTTAATTTTCAATATTAAATAATTAGTTGTTAATGGTGAGTTCACCTTGACAAGTTGCTGGTCAGATTCATTTTTATTAATGCAACAACATTAATAATTCTCAAACAATAACAGTTAGGTTCGTTTTTAGTAATATAATTAGTCAATTCTTTCCATTCTCAAATGATGGCAGCTTTTTATATTTGGTTGCTCTGCTTTAATTCTTAGAAATACCCTTTTTAATAATCGTTTGACGTTGGACTTGAAGCTTAGTTTTAATTTCCTATTCTAAGAAAATTTAATTGTGAATCCGAAGTTGATCACAAAGAAGAAAACTTCTCAAACCACTATTGATCTCTTTACCTACTTCTTCTTGGATTGGCAGATTTGTGCTTTCCCTTTCTAAATGACCAAACTTCTTTGAAGTCAAATTTACACACAATATTCAAAGATTTAATGACCACTTCTTCCTTGTGTTTTAAAATGTAGTGGTGAACTATAACCATCCTTTCGTGATCATATTTTTTGCCGCCCAAGTTGACTGTTCTTTCAGCGTTGCAAACAAAGCCTCAACAAAGCTTCTCTTGATTTTGTGGGAGGTAAAAGTGAAACCCGCGGTTAAAGGAACCTCCTTTCTTCTTTTCCTACTACATTTCATCCAAATTTGGGAAGCAATCTCAGTTCTTATGCCACAAAATTCTCAAAAGCAATCTTATGATCTTTCAGTGGCCCACTTCCAAGTCTTCTGAATGACTTCTGAGCTTTGCTGTTGCTTGAACCATGATTTGTCTTTTCTCTTCCTTTTTCCAAACATCAATCACAAAATCAGAACACAAAGATTTCAAGGACTTAAAACCAGAAACAACTACCAAACTCTTGTTCAAACAGGGTTGGTTCAAACCAACAAACACTCTGAAATCTCCTTCAAGAACTTCCCTCCAATTTCCCACCTTCCTGATTCTTCTCTTCTTCTGCTTAATACTCTCGACTCAATCCCTTGCTTCAATTTCTTATGGATTTCAAGAGAACCCCTTTTCTTTTTATCATCTTCTTCACTTCTCTAACTCACCAAACTCTGTCCTCCCACCAAAAGTTTGAAGCTTGTGCTCCAAAATCCTGTGGGAAAGGTCCAAATATAAGCTACCCTTTCTGGATAGCTCATTCACACAGTCCCTTCTGTGGACACCCTAGTTTCGATATCGCCTGCAAAGATGAAAATCCAATTATCAGAATTTCACAAGACGATTATATAATCAGAGATATCTCCTACCAAAGCCATTCTTTTCTTGTGGCAAATGCTGCGGTTTACAAGGTGAACTGCCCAACTCCTCTTCATAACTTCAGCCTCGACCGAACCCCATTCAGTTACAGTTCAGATCATATTGGTTTCTTCTTCTTCTACAACTGTACTTCCCTTCCTCCCAATTATAGCTACCCAATTGATTGTTCGAGCAAAAGAAAACTCCATTCTTTTGCAGCTTTCCATGACGGATTATTGGAGCTTATGAACTTCTCTTCCGATTCCTGTCAATCCTTGGTCGAGGTGCCCGTACATATTAGTAATGGGGATGATGACTTTTCTGGGTTGTTGAGGAAGAGTTACTCTGATATCTTGAAGATGGGTTTAACTTTAGATTGGAGCACCCAAAACTGCAGCATCTGTGAGAATAGTGGGGGCCGATGTGGATCCGAAAGCAACAAGTTTGTTTGCTTTTGTCCTGATGGACCTCATCTCGAGACCTGCAAAGAGGGTAACTTTCTAGAAATCTTAGTGCTGTAGAATAGGAAAGGCCCGGTAAAAACCTTAACTGATCTTGGCCTTGCTTATAAACTGTTTTTGAATCATGCTGCCTGTAATGTTCTGTGTTTGACAGTTTTTTCTCATTGTTTTGGTAAAACAATCTTGTCTAACGATTTGCTTGCCAATTGCTTACAATGACAGCAAAAGATGATAAATGGAAGAAGATCGTCATAGGTAAAAACTAGGCCTTGATTTCACCTTACAGTAATCTCCTGCTTGGAAAGTGGACTAACTTTACTTGCAAATGGAATGTCATGGCAGGTGTTTGCTGTGGTCTTGGAGGCATAATAATAATGAGTGTAATCTTTTTCATCTGGTTCCGTTTGCACAAAAAGAAGCTCGCTCGTGCTCATGCTCCCTCCTCCTTTCTCCTTCGAAACAATTCTTCTGATTCTCCAGCAAAGGAACTTGAGAAAGCAGAAGACTACATGGGTATACCTCTGTTCTCTTATGATGAGCTTGAAGAAGCCACAGACAAATTTAATCCAGCCAAAGAACTTGGAGATGGTGGCTTTGGCACCGTCTATTATGGTAAAGATCAGTCGTTATTTTTGACATAAGCATGTCGATTTGAGTATGAAGTTCTAATTAATTTGTATGTTATTTGATCTCTCTTCATAGGCAAACTCCGAGATGGGCGTCAGGTCGCAGTTAAACGGTTGTTTGAAAACAACTACAGAAAAGTTGAGCATTTCATGAACGAAGTCGAGACCCTTACACGTTTGCGCCACCAAAATCTAGTCACCCTTTATGGATGCACCTCTAGACGCTGCCGTGAACTTCTGCTGGTATATGAATTCATTCCGAATGGCACTGTGGCCGATCATCTTCATGGTAACCGAGCAAAACCCGGTGTGCTTTCATGGCATACAAGGTTAAAGATTGCCATAGAGACTGCAAGTGCTCTGGCTTATCTCCATGCTTCTGAGACCATCCACCGTGATGTTAAAACCACCAACATTCTTCTTGACGACAACTTCTGTGTTAAAGTGGCAGATTTCGGACTATCTCGCCTTTTTCCGACGCAAGCAACCCATGTTTCAACTGCTCCACAAGGAACTCCAGGCTATGTCGATCCAGAGTATCACGAATGTTATCAACTTACAAGTAAAAGCGACGTCTTTAGCTTTGGAGTTGTATTGGTTGAACTGATATCTTCAAAGCCTGCAGTTGACATTACAAGGCACAGGCATGAGATTAACTTGTGGACAATGGCAATCAACAAGATCCGAAACGACGAATTACATGACTTCATTGACCCGTCTCTTGGATTTGAAACAGATCAGAGAGTGAAAGACATGATTTGTGCAGTTGCAGAGTTGGCATTTCGATGTCTGCAAAGTGTGAAGGACACGAGGCCATCGATGTTGGAGGCTCTGGAGATTCTGAAGGATATAGACAATCGGAGTAGTGGCAAAGGAAAGGCAGAAGAAATAGACATTTCAGGAGAAGATGATGTGCTGCTGAAGGGTGGTTCAGAGCCACAATCTCCAGATTCTGTTGTTGTGCCTTGGATAAGTAAATCTTCAAGGCCAAATGACAGTGGCTAGTTTTTTGCTTGTGGTTTCATGGTAAAATAGATGTTAAAGCTTTGTTAGCACTCGTCCCTTTTTATTTTTCCACCAATTTTTATCAACTTTCTAAAACTTAGATGTACATATTTCGAGATCGAATGTAAAGCTCGTGTTGTCATTCTCCATCCACTTTCTCGCTCAATTGAATAGAGCTCAGCATATTACACTCTTCTTCTTCTTCACGGGTCAAATAGGGTTTTGGAAGATTGCAGCGTATGAAAGATCTTAATTCTTTTCTATAGATGCCACAAGTGAAAGAAGCAAAGAAATATATCACAAATTTAAGCCCACTAGTGATTAGGTTCTAAAATCCTTGAATGACAACAACAACCAATTTCCCCTGATAGCAGGCTCTCAGAATTGAATAGTTTTCCTTTCTTTGGAGTAAACAGTTGACTAACTCAAACCTGTATGATTCGATGCAAGCAGAAAGTAGGCTCTAGAAAATATTTAATGGATAAAATTTTGACTTGAAAAGTTGTATAAACAAACTCAGTCCAGTGAGAGCGACTACCTCTGTTTGATCTAGTAAGGGAAGCCAATGGGAGGGAGGGAGTCCGCACATCCAAGACCAAATCACTTATTCAAAACATATATTTTAATTTTATCAGCAAATTCTCACTCCATGGAAATTCTTAAGGTGCAGATACTGCCCATTCAAGCAACAACCTCTTCTCATACATCAATGTTGCATAAATATTGCCCAAAAGTCGTCTCCTTCCCTTCTTTCTTTTGTTTTTATATTGTCTCTGACTTTCATTCTGCTCAGCTCAGGCTAGAAAATCACTAGTTGATTGTATCTGTTTCTGATGCATTCGGCTGTTCAGAAGCTCAAAAAAATGAGAACCCATCTCTCATTGCCCTCCTTCGGCCTAAATCACACGATCAGCAACATCTTGTTCATCTCCTTCATCGCGTTCCATCTTGCGCCATCCTTTGGCGATGATGCCGTCGACGAATTTAAAGCCTGCGGTGTCAGTTACAATTGCGGAGAATTGGTAAACATAACATATCCCTTCTGGGGGAATGAGAGGCAGGGGTTTTGCGGGCGACGAGAATTCGAGCTAAACTGCAAACGAAACCGAACCACCACGATTCAAATCAATTCATTCGAATACAACGTCCTGAGAATCAACCAATCGGGTCACAGAATGACAATCGCAAGATCAGACCTCCTCGACGATTACTGCCCGAAACACAAACACCAAATCGAAACGGCGACGCTGGATTACCATCTGTTCATGTATTCTTCGAACAATCGGAACGTCTCCGTGTGGTACAATTGCCAGCCGCAAGAGGGAATTCCGGACGATTACAGATTTTGGTGCGGGTGGGAAGGGGAAAGAAATGGGAGTGGGAATAATTATGCCTTTGAAGCGGCGGCGATGAATTTGAGCAGAAATATGAGAGGGTGCGGGATGAAGATCGAAGTGACGGTTACGACAGAAGTATTGAAAGAAGGTTCAAATAACAGGAGGAGATTAGTGGAGAAGGCTGTGAGAGGAGGGTTCGACGTGGAATACGGGAATTTGTATACGGTGGCGTGCAACGATTGCGAGAAAAATGGCGGCAAGTGTGGAGGAAACGGAACGGACCCATTTTACTGCATCTGTGGAAGTGGAGTCTGCGGATCTGATCCGGCTCCTGGTACTTTCTCATTCTTCTCCATTTTAAGTTGCAAATTTGATGAAAATTTTGGATAAGAAATTCATTGGGTCCTTAAAAAAAATAAAGAAGGACTAATTTTATTTTTCGAAATTGGTGAGTATTGTAAGATTTATTGCATTAATTTGCTAAGTTTTGATTGTCTTTGGGTTAAATTACGTAGAAAAAAAAACTAAAATTCAGCTTTATCCTTTGCTTAAAAAATAGCAAATATCTATTAATATTTTAAATGAAAAATTGATATGGTAAAGAATCTAGAACCATATGTGAAAATAATATCCTAATTTTTCTCGAGATATTTTCTTTCTCAATTATCAATAGAATTTGTTTTTCTACTATAAACCTAATTTTATTTTAATCTTCCTTTAAAAAATAATAGGTTCTTCCCCATTTTCTCTTTTTAGATTTAATTTAGACAAGCTCCTGCATCTATGGTAACTCTAAATAAAAATGATTTAGGGTGTCCTTTTGTAATTTAGCCTTTTTCTCTCTCTTTTTTTAACTTTTGTATGTGCCACTTGGCCTACATTCAAGTACAATTTCCTCACTAACCAAACATGATAGACCGAGTCATTGGAGAAAGCAAGCCACTAATTGGATGAACTGGATCAGACAGCCTCCCCAATAAGTTCTGAGAAATTTTTACATGGTAAAAGTTGGAATATCTATCAAATCCAGGTCTAAATGAGATGAAATTGAAATTTGAAAGTAAAAATTGATCAAATCTTGAGAAAATTTGACTTCTAAACTACTACTTTTTAGTTTTTACCATTCACAAGGTTTCAGCATTGAATTATTGGTTTACTAGTCGTATAAATTGGAACCCCTTTTTCAGTTGTACTTGCTTCAGGAGGCTTCATTTTAGCAATATTCGTCACCATCGTCATGCTCGTCTACTACATAGTGAAATGCTACATAAACAAAGACAAAACTGAAGAAATTATCCGGAAAAATTCCAAACAAACACCCAAGCGATACAGTTACTCAAAGCTGAAGAAAGTCACAAATTCCTTTAAGAACAAGCTCGGCCAAGGAGGATTTAGCACCGTTTACAAAGGAAAGCTATCAGACGGCCGCGACGTGGCTGTGAAGCTTTTGAATCAATCCACAGAAGATGGCCAAGATTTTATCAATGAAGTTGTAAGCATCACCAAAACTTCGCACGTAAACATAGTAACTCTCTTGGGTTTCTGCTATGAGGGGAAAAAAAGAGCTTTGATTTATGAGTATATGCCCAAAGGGTCATTGGATAAGTACATAACCCACAAAAGACTGCAGAAAAATGAAGTCAAATTGGATTGGAACACACTCTGTAACATTGTTATTGGCATCGCTCGAGGCTTAGAGTACTTGCACCGAGGCTGCAACACAAGGATTGTGCATTTTGACATAAAGCCACACAACATTCTTCTGGACGATGAGCTTCGCCCCAAAATCTCAGACTTTGGGCTTGCCAAGCAATGCAAAACCAAACAGAGTTACGTGTCGCTGACAGGGGCGAAGGGGACGGTAGGATTCATGGCGCCTGAAGTAATATTTAGAAACGTTGGCAAGGTTTCCCATAAGTCTGATGTTTATAGCTATGGAATGTTGGTTCTTGATATGGTGGGGGAAAGAAAGAATCAGAATGGAGGGGTGGGGGAGAGCAGTGAAGAGTACTTCCCTGATTGGATATATAAGAATCTTGCAGGGAGTGTACGGTGGGGCAACACAAGGGAAGAAGAGAAAATGGCGAGAAAAATGATCATAGTGGGGCTGTATTGCATTCAAACATTGCCGGAGGAGAGGCCGTCGATGAGTGATGTGGTGGCAATGTTGGAAGGGAATGGCGATGGCTTACAGATTCCGCCGAAACCGACCTTATTTGGACCGCCTACGGCTGAGCTGCCCAAACCTTCTTCTTCTTCATCTTCTTTTTCATCATCCAGATCGTACCTTAAGACACTGGCTTTAGGTGCTCTCTGTGTTGGAGGCTCAGGAGAAGATCGATGATGTGCTGGTGAAGGATGGTCCTGTGCCACAATGTCTGGATTCTGTTAATGTGCCTTGAATTAGCAAATCCTCAACTCCAAAATGGCTGTGGCTAAGTTTTTTGTTCGTTTGTGGTTTTCATGGTAAAATAGGTGTTTAAGCTTCAATAGCACTGCCTCTTCCTTTTTGTTTTTCCACCAATTTTTAAGGTTGATCAGATGTACATATTTGAGATTGAACGTAAAGCTCATGTTGCCATTATTCTCCATCCGCTTCAAATATATAATATGATCTGATGGCAAGGAGAAAGGTACCTCTGGAAAATAATTAATGGCGATGGCTTGGAATTTGGAAAATATTAATGTTGACTAAAGTCGTCTCTGTCTCTGTCGCCTTTCTTTTGTTTATGTTTTTACTCTGACTTTCTTTCAAGAAAAAAATCATTAGCTGATTATCTATTTTTGATCGTTTCGTTGTTCAGAAGCCCAAGAAAATGAGAACCCATCTCTCATTGACCTTCTTCCTTAACCCCAGCATCAGCAACTTATTCCTCATCACCTACTTCGCGTTTCATCTTCCGCTCTGTTCCGGCGAGGACGCCCTCAGTGAATTTCCCTGTTTCTTGTCCACTTTCCCGGAAAGTACCGGCAGCATAAGGAGGCCATCTCTTTCTCCCAATTTCCCAATTTCCAAATCAAAATCGTCCTCTGTTCATGAGCTCTCACAGAAATGAAAACTCCCGCCCCTCTCTTCTTCT